GAAGTGCATTTTTTGGTTAAAGATTATTGAATTACTTTGTATTTTACCAAGCCTTTACCTCAAATAGCGTTTTGATCAATTCTATAATTCTGAACCAGTGTTTTTTCTGCAGAAGTTCTGCTATCAAAAGTTGTAAAACTGTCAGTTTATTTTTTATTTTTTACAGTTTTAAGGACTTTTAGGAACGTTTAATAGATATTTATACCCGTTTGCACCAACATATGCCTTAATCAAGATTAACTAATCTCAATTAAATTATAACCGTGATTAAATTTACCTCGGTTTGCACCATCCAATTTATAGCTAATCCTCTTTTAACTTTGATTAGGTGAAAAACGCGGAAAATGTGTGTTGGTATGTTGGTTATAACCCTATATTTTGCTGATAGGTTCGTACCACTGTAGCGTTCAAACGTCAAAAATGTCTAAAACTTGTCATCTGTAGAATAATTATTTAAAGGGTATATCGTTTTACCTAAAGCGGTGTGTAAAATAATAATAATGGGCATTGCAACTTAAAGAAAAAAGAGTTGAATTGATAAATTTCGTTAATCAATAATTTAATTATTCGGTAGGTACCTTAATATTACAAATCAGCAAAATACTTATTTTAAATTGTTTTAGCGTTCCGGCGGCGATATCATTTTGGTCGTCATAAATATTAGAAATTTGTCCTTCTTCTATTAATCGATTCAGTACGTGGGCATCTAATTCATCCGCTATTGGTGGTGTTTCAAAATCTCTCATATCCAGCGCAATGTTATGGAGAACGGCTGCCGCAACAGGCAATTAGGAAATCGGCCAAACAAACCCCGTATTCTGCAATTATTGAAGATTGTAGCATCATGGACGGAGCCTGGCCACCTTGCCACCACGTTCAATATTGAAAAATATTCGTCACCTCCAGGAGATTGTATACGAATATGGGTGCAATAAATAGTTCCAACTACTCGAGGAAATGTGCCACATTGAATAATCGCTGTTGTTTTCATCTCAATTCATCTGGAAAAGTTGGAAAACGCACATATTCATTTTATAATCTTGCGATAGCTTCAGATACTCTAGCAACAATGCGCCAAACTGTTGACAAAAGCATTCCCATATAGTCACCAATTGAATCCAAATCCCCCCCCCCGTTGAATAGAGATTAAGACATGTTAATAATTGATTCATCGGCGTAACACAATTATTTATAAAATGACGAATGATTGCAGTTGTAAACTAAATTATTTACACTGACCTATCTGTAGGGTAATCCAATTCATCTTCGATCCTCACAAGTAGCTGATACACACAGAAACCGTTTTCAAAAAGTGCTTTGGTCCAAACTGTCAAAGTACGAATGCCTTTCATAAATTTGTCGCGAAACCGTTTTTAATGAAATCGACCACTTCATGTCGTCGTCTTCCACAATAGGAAATTGTAACTTATTAATTTTTTTAATAAAGGTATAAAAAGAGAAGTCAACCTTTCAAAACGGCAAAATGAGGTTAGACTACTGTTTTGCCAAGCAATGGCGCTTTCTAATCATGATTTAAATACTAACCGCCCGACTATTCACCGGTTATTTAACCAACCTCTTAACCACGGTTAAGTGAATGGTGCAACGAAGTTTTCTGGATTAGCCAATTTAATCACGATTAAAATGCTAACCCACGTTGGTGCAAACGGGCATTAGACAGTTAACTGGAAGTGCATTTTTTGTTTAAAGATAATTACTTTGTATTTTATTAGGCCTTTACCTATAATAGCGTTATATATAATATTTTTTTAATCAATTCTATAATTCTGAACCAGTATATTTTTTATATGCATCAAAAACAATCCATTAAATATGTACATATGAGCTACATCAAAGATCAACAAGCATGCCTTCTGCAGAAGTTCTGCTATCAAAAAAGTTGTAAAACTGTCAGTTTTTTTTGTTTTTTCAATGTTAAGGACTTTTAGGAACGTTTAATAGATTTTTAGACAGTTAACTGGAAGTGCATTTTTTGGTAAAAGATTATTGAATTACTTTGTATTTTATTGGGCCTTTAAGTCAAATAGCGTTATATATAATATTTTTTGATCAATTCTATAATTTTTTTTTATGCATCAAAAACAATCCTTCAAATATGTACATAAGAGGGGGCCTTTAAGTCAAATAGCGTTATATATAATATTTTTTGATCAATTCTATAATTTTTTTTTATGCATCAAAAACAATCCTTCAAATATGTATGTACATAAGAGCTACATCATGGATCAACAAGCATGCCTTCTGCAGAAGTTCTGCTGTCAAAAATGTTTGTAAAACTGTTGTTTTTAATTTTTTTACTTTTAAGGACTTTTAAAGATTCAATATTGAATTACTTTGAATTTTATTAGGCCTTTACCTCAAATAGCGTTATGTATAATATTTTTTGATCAATTCTATAATTCTGAACCAGTATTTTTTAGATGCATCAAAAAATAATCCTTCAAATATGTACATATGATCTACATCAGAAATCAACAAGCATGCCTTCTGCAGAAGTTCTGCTATCAAAAAAGTTGTAAAACTATCAGTTTTTTTTTTATTTTTTACAGTTTTAAGGACTTTTAGGAACGTTTAATAGATTTTTAGACAGTTAACTGGAAGTGCATTTTTTGGTTAAAGATTATTGAATTACTTTGTATTTTATTGGGCCTTTAAGTCAAATAGCGTTATATATAATATTTTTTGATCAATTCTATAATTTTTTTTTATGCATCAAAAACAATCCTTCAAATATGTACATAAGAGCTACATCATGGATCAACAAGCATGCCTTCTGCAGAAGTTCTGCTGTCAAAAATGTTTGTAAAACTGTTGTTTTTAATTTTTTTACTTTTAAGGACTTTTAAAGATTCAATAATTACTTTGTATTTTATTAGGGCTTTACCTTAAATTATATAGCTTTAGATGCGGATGTGGGAGTTAAGTATGTTAAATCCAAGATAAATTTTAAAAATGTTCTTGTATCCTTCATTTTAAAATCAATGTGGAGTAGACATTTCCCAATTAGCCAACGAGTTTTGACGTTAAAAGAAAAATAATCCACGCATTAGTCACGTTAAACAATTTTTAATTAAATTTAATCAATTATATAAATCTCGAAAAATGTACGGTAATTTACAATATTCCACTTTTAATTTTAAAACATTTTACCTATATCGCGTTGACACAGATTTTCGAGCATTTCGACATTAGTCGGCTGGTATATTCGTTTTCGCGTTACTAATGTTCATTTGCTATTGGGGCCATCGAACGTAGGAAGTACTTTGTATTTTATTATACCTTTACCTCAAATAGCTCTATATATAATATTTTTTGATCAATTCTATAATTTTAAACCACTGCAGTGTTTTTTAGAGGCATCAAAAATAATCCTTTAAATATGTACTAAATCAGCTGTGACGCATTCACCATTTTGCCAAGCGAAGCCAAGCAATTCTCGTACACTCCATACAGCCGACCTAGAACGTCTAGACTAGCGGCTATTTTCGTTCCTCTATCCGATTTATCAGACAAAATGCATGCATACAGTAAAATTGAAAAGTTAGAATAATAATAAGTTGGTAAATTACAGAGCTTTGGATGCGAATGTGGGAGTTAAGTATTTTAAATCCAAGATAAATTTTAAAAATGTTCTTGTATCCTTCATTTTAAATTCAATGTGGAGTAGGCATTTCCCAAATAAGCCTGCTATTCCTGTAGGTTAAACCATAATATTTTCGCCGCTACTGATTCAATTAAATTAAAACTTGTACAGAATCAAGAATATTAATACGAACATGTACATGTGCAATTGCATTAAAATGTGTACAAGATCAAGATTAATGCAAAAATATGGTGTTAAAATTTTGTAATGTGCAATCAAAGGACTAAAAAATAGTGAAGAAAAAAATTTGGTATGGTCTATATTTTATAATCTCTATACAGCATGGATTATATAAATTAAGAAAATCTACAAAATATCATAAAAATAATCAGAATGACCATAAAAAAAAATTTATAGGTATTGTTGAAAAAAAAAATTTAATTACAAAAAACTAGTTTTCCACTTTTTCCTTCGGAAAAGTGGCCATCTACAAATATAAATTCTTGCGTGAATATATTGAGATGTCCCCCAAGTGAAAATGATTATTTTTTATTTTTGGTTGTTTCACTGTTAGTCTAGAATGGGGTTTTTGGGAAGCCATCAGGTCTAGTAATAACATAACATAAGTGGTTCTGCACTAATGCAAGAATTTTAAGAAATCATACATTTTGAATATTAGAGCTTCACGGAAGATAGCTTTACGGAGGTTAGGATTTCGTATGTTTTTTTAAAACATCCCTTTGTATTTTTTAAATAAGTTATTGTATCTTTTAACACCTTAATATTTTTAAAACATACATAAAATATTTGTAAAAAAAATCTACTTACTGAGATATTACACTTCACGGTGGATAGGTTTTTAAATAGCAAATTAATGAAGTTAAAGTTTTGAATTATAAAACAGCAACACTCTCATCAGCATATAAATTTTAACTGAATTTCAGGAATCACATAGATCTATAATGTCGTAAACAGAGGTTTTTGCTTATTTAAAATGATTAAAGCCGTTGCATAAAATTTAAAGCAAACACAGATTCACGGAGGATATAATCAATTTTTGTAACACCTACATAAATGGTTATAAAAATTATTTTTTTAATTTTTAATAATATTTTATATTTGATTCGATTGCTTTGGATGTGTTTAATTTACTTAGTGAACTGATATTTTTAGTATGCTTTTACTATCTCAAATATTTGAAAACATATAGGTTAACCTAGAAAGAGTAACCGTCACGGAGGATAGGTTTTAGACTTTTAAAAGATTGTAAAAAATAATTAATTGCGGTTAAAAATCTGGAACCTGAGCTGTAATATCTACTTAATTATTATTAGTATTATTTATCACAGCAAAAATTAAAAAAACATTTTTTTAAATGTATGTATATGTTCCTTACCTTGCTTAATTTTTCGCCTTCGTGATGCGGCAACAGCCCGCGCAAGGACTGAAATCCGTTGTTGATGCTCTGCATCCTCCTTCGTTCGTTGCTGTTCGCGATCTCGCGTCTCATTCTCTTCTCCTGCTCCATCGTCGGCGGTTCGCCTCCTTTGTTTATTCGACTGAAAGAAGAAAAAAAAATTGAAAGAAAAAAAAAGTCACATGAACAACACTTTTTATATGAGAGTACCTGGAACGACACTTATAATCACCCTTCTATAAAAAAAAATTAAAGAAAGTCACGTAAAGCCCTTGAACGACTTTTTATATGAGTGCTTGGAACGACGCTTAAAATCTAGTTTCACCCTTCTATAAATAAATACAAATGTAGTATTGCGTCTTAAAAAAAAATCGACCATTGTTTGGCATCACATTATTATTAATTCAACAACGTTTTCTTCGCTTTTATAATTTATTTCCTTCCTTCCTTTCAATTTACATACCACTTCCTCTCTCACTATCAAGCCAACGAGAAGAAAACGGATTTTTACGACCACAAAGTTTTTAATCATATCTCATCATTGTTTTGTTTACATTTAAGATAGAAAATAAAACGAAGTTTTAGATTTTTTTTACCTCTAAAAACAATTAGGTATATGATTCATCCAATCAAAAAAAAAACAGGTGAAGTTCTTTTTTTTTATCTGGACTGCGGCAACGTTGCAAATTTAGGGTTGTCAAGTTGGTCGCATTGATTAAAACAAACTAAGCTAGTTATAAATCTAATTGTGGTTATGTATAAATTATTCTAGGTTACATTGTACAGTTGTAAAGTTGAGTTGTCGATATTCGTAGTTAAAAATGCAATTAATTTGGCTTTGGTGTTGCTTGGATGAGTAAAATCATATAAAAAAAAGTAGTTAAATCTTCGCTTTGAAAAGAATTTATATAAAAGAAATTAAAATTTTTTGTGAACGTAAATGTTGTCCAATGGTGAATAATGTGAAAATAATGTGTGATGTAATATTTATAAAACCAAATTCGTTACTTTTTTACTCCAAAAATGTCCATATCGCGATGTACTTTTTCTTCCATTGTGGCATTTGGCATAATTTCATCAAAATGAAGTTTTGCCCTCAAAAGGGGTTTTACATTCGAATTCGTTGCTATTATTTTTGGCATAATTATCTTTTTATTTATAATTGACAAGTCACTGCAGCGGCAGATGAAATCCGAAATCATCCGGATATGATAGCAAGAGCGAAACACCATAATTTTCTACACAGCTCTCAACTTTGTGTGGATAGTTGAACATTTATTATGATTTTGAACATTTTGGAACTGTCTTCTCTATTCTACTTACTTAGAGACTATAGTTTGGATTAGTTTTAGTAAACTTCTAGATAGTTTTGAGACATTTTTTTGAGGTTTTCTCATTTCCGAATTAATGTAGAGGTAGGCGTAGGCATTTTCAGCAATTAGATCAAGGCCGTCGCCTGATTGCTCGTCGAAAAAAATTAATCGCCCACTTAAACCTACGTTGTACGAAAAAGGCTTTCAAAAAGGCGAACAAAAAAACCAACCAAAATGCGAAGGTGTGTTGTAAAACGTGAAATATCAGCGGACGACAGTTAAAAAAGGAAGTGGAAAAATATTAATGAAGGTCCCCATTCATGAATACATCTCTCAAAGATTATACTCCACTATAGTATACTACTGGAAGCGTAGTAGTAAAGAGTAATTTGAAGCGACAAATGGAAAAAGTCGTTTTGGTGTCGCTTTTTTTAATTCCGCAAAAGATAGTACTACTATCACCAGCCAATTCGTATAAAAAAATCGCATACATACTTTTTAAAATATTTTTTTTATAGTGTAGGAAGTATTTTTGAATTGTTTTTTGATATTATTTATCATGCTTACGTAAATTGTAGTGACACTCAATTAATAAACCGTCCTACATTTTGTTATCCTACTAATCATATAATAATATTACGTCGTGAGTTTTTTAAACTGCACAGGGACACAATAACATTTTTTTAAATGTTCTAAATTTATATAAAACATTTTTTCGCAATAATTATTTTGCGTGGTGCTGATGTTAACTGGCCACCAAGGTGCGGCGATTTAAGCTTTTAGACTTTTAAGGGATTTATAAACCAATAAACCAGGAACAGTTTTTTTTTAAATATATCATTGTATCACTGTGCGCCGAAAGTTTAGCCTGCTAGCATCGATTTTTACCGCCCCCGCACCTCCCCCATGCCGCCGCCGTATACTACGCAGCAATTCGTTAGCGTTGAACTGGGGGGGGTGGGAGCTGAAGGGGCGGTTGTCGTTGTCTAGCGTTTCGGGAATTAACGCGCTCGGCAAAAACGTAATAATAAAAAAAATAGTTCAGTTTTTTCTTCAATTTTCAAAATAAAGTGCCTATCTTGTAAAATGATACTAAATGTGAAAATTATTTTAATATTTTATTTCAAAAATACAAGAGTATTAAATAATTTCTAGACGCCAATATTTAAAAAGATTAAATTAACTTTTGATTTTGCCGTACGGCAAAATCAAAAGTTACGTAGTAGTGCAGTTAACTAGATTTAACTGATAAAGCGTTAAAAATGTTGCGTTCAGTGCCCATAAAACATTCTCTTCTCTTTTAACGTGAAAAACTACTTCTACACTGCGCGTCAAAATTAACGCATTATAAGTAATAAAATTCTAACTCTAAAACGCCTTTATGAAACTTTATGAAATTTTGTAATACTTCAACTTATATCTCAGTTTACGTGTTCGAGGGTTTTTCGAGAAAATATTTTAAAGCCCTTTTATTTAATATTAAAAAAAAGATACCTACAGCGCTTCAAAGTCGGTAAAAATGACCCCTTTTTGATTATTTTGCTGAAAAGTGGTCATTTTTACCGACTTTGAAGCGGGTATACCAACAAAAATACGGTCTTTAACAGCATATTTTTTATTTACTTAAAAAAAATTCCCTATAAAAGTTTTTTTTCGAGCGTTTTTTTTAATATTAAATAAAAGGGCTTTAAGGTTATTTTTTCGAAAAACCCTTGAAAACGTAAACTGAGATATAATTTAAAGTATTTTTATCCAAAATTTTATAAAGATTGGTAAAGGCGTTTTAGAGTTAGAATTTTTTAAATTATTATGCGCTAATTTTGACAGGCAGTGTATACCTATAGATTTTTAGTCTATTTTCAAGGGATAAATTTTGATTTATACAGAAAAATTTGAGATTTTAACGCCCTTAGATTCCCAAGTACAGGAATTCCAATAAATACAACTATAACTGTGGTACCTTTAACATTTCCATTTCTTTGTGATAATATTTTGCAATTATAGTAATAAAAAAATCAAATGACAAAATATTTTCTTAGCATAATCATAGTTTGAAGTAATTTTAAAGTACCTATAAATAATTTTTAAGTTTAATTAAAAAATTACGTCAAAAATGTCAAAATTGGGATGGTTACTTTATTTTCGTATAGATTTCGTTTTATACAAATATTTAATTTAAATCATTTTTTAGATACCTAATATGAAGTATTTGTCGTAGAACAGGTATAGAAACTTGATACCTACATAATATACTATTTTATTGAATATTTTGACAGTTCTTAAATTAAATTAAAATTGACGTTGTTTTTATGAAATAATAATACCTACCTATAATAAAAACAAACTTGCTGTTTTTGTAAAACATATGATTTTTGATTAAACGATTACATTAAAAATAGATATACCTACCCAAACTATTTAGCAATTAAGATAAGATTATGTAAGTGGAAAAATAGAACGATAAACTTATAAATATGTATTCTTTTTAAAGTATTTCTGTTAATATGCCATTTATAATCAAATTCTTAAGCTTCGAGTAAATTTAGTTTTTCTGTTGTACCTAGTAAGCAAAATTAAATTGCCTTTTACGACAAATTTTACGAGGACTAAATTACAACCTCGTGGGAAATAAAGTCCAAATCTTTTACATAATAGGTCGAAAAGTCATAAAAACACTTTGTAGTACTACGTCTATAAAAGGGTATAATTTAACGAATTTTACATGCAGTAGTATAGAAGGTATCTTGTCAAATAAAAGATAAAAATAGTGTAAATTACATCTACAAGCAGAAGAGTTAAAAACATGAAATAATCTTAACATCCTGTATAGGTACGATAATAACTACCAATTGTAGTTTTTTTCTCACGAACCCTTTCTTTACAAGACATTTGTAAGGAGCCCCCTTTTTAAATTGGAATCGCAATAGCCAAAACACGTGCCCCAAGAGTTTTGCAGGTGTCCCTTTTCTCGAAAACCGGTTCTGCAGCTTTGCCAAAAAGCAACCCCCCGATTTCCGGCCCAAAAAACCTTAAGCAGGTGCGACTCCGGGCTATCGAAAGATAACCGTCGATAAAGTTATTAATTTGTTGTTTTGCAACAAACAGCTGTTCGAGAATCTAGGAGGCAGTTTAAACATGCCGCGTGACTCACAGTTCCATGTCCAATTTTAATTTGTTAATCAGGCCACTGACTGACGTACGATTTATTTTTAATAATGTTTCATGGTATTTAGGCGCAAAATTAATTGAATTCTAAAACACTAATGAACTTCCCGCTGGGCAGCCAAGTTTGTTTTTCAGGTGGTTCACCTGTAATTATCGTCTTAAATAATGGGGCTATTATTTGGTCGAAACTCACGGATTTTGGCTTACAACAAGCTAATAATAACAAAGTAAATATCAACCCAAATTTAATAATTAATCTAAAACATAGAACAGGTGTATTGTACAATACAAACATTATTTCACAAACGGGGCCAAATGAGTTCAACATACGATGAAAATTCTATCGGCCCACACAACATACAGCTGACCATTATATTATAATAATGTTGGATAAAATACAGAAAAAATGTTCCCAACGAGTGATTCATACGTTAGAACGTAAAACATGCACGGGATATAAATAAACTAATAATTACAACAATCACCTTCATCGGCCTTGCAGACAAACTATTTCCGTAATGTAATGTAATCGCAAAATTGCTCTCTTTCCATCTCTATTATACTTAATATTATTGTTTGTTTATACACTACGCAGAATAAAACAATGGGTTTTGTCGATAGTAAAAAACAAATTAAGCAGGTACCCTAAACCTTGAACTAGGAGCATGTGGTCGGTAATTTTCTATTACCAATGGTATTGCACAAAAAATCACAATTGCGCGTAAAATTTTAAAAGCCTTGTTAATACGCGTTAATTTGGAAGGTCAATATAGATTAAACCACCATTAAAAAAATAAATTAAATCTTAAGAAAAGCAATAAAGCAAAAGTAAACGTAATTTGTTGGGGGCATTTCCGTGAAATACCAAGGTTTGCAGAAAAAGCACTTGGGAAAACCAGGCATTTTCAAACAAGTCCAGCATTTGGTTGTTTTCAGCCTAAAATTTTGTGTTGTCCACGTGAAAAAGATGGTTTAACAACGCGAAATATCGACCTACACACAACGCACCAGCTGTGAGGCATGCTCCACGTCCCATCGATGTTTATTAATAGCATTTAATCGCTTGTATTCGATAGATTTGTTGGTTTATGATACGTTGTACGGCGGAAGACTAGCGATCAGTTCTGCAGAAAGCGAACAAATTACCACCGGTATTGTACTCCAAAATTCGCTGGTTAATTAATGTAGGCTATGGAAAACTAATTTAGAATTTTTTTGGGGTAAACTCAATCCATTTCAAAAAATGCAAATGAGTTTTGGTTGTTCATCATGGCCATATTCTCGTGTAGGATACAACTTCGTCGTTAATCTGCACAAAACGGCAATGTTTGGGCGGGCGGGATTATGCTTCTGCATAACCGGGTCCAGTTTGAGGTCTAACATAACAACGCCATAAAATACAACATGGCGTGGCAACAGCTGAGCATCGGCGGCATCGCCGAGGTTGCCGGTGCGCTAAACGGCGCGTTCCGCGGAAATTAGTTGGTGGTTTGTGCGTGAGAGCGATGACGTACAAAAGTCAAAATCATGTGTGTACTCTGGATAACTACTGATATGATCGTGTGGGGACTTACCTGGAAATGTTTCCCAAAATGTCCTTTTTTTCGTCGCCGCTTTCTTCAAACACCACTCTTTCGTCACCAAGATAAACAGACATACTCTACACTTCAATCAAATGTTTAGTCACGTGTCGCAGCACTGTTTTTAGTTAAAATCACTGATAGTACGCTGGAGCGCGGGATAACCAACATACGCTACGCCTCGCAGAGGTTTTCTGGCGGAGACGTTTGGCGGGAAACAGCTGAGGCCTGGTTGACGCCAATCTACGATTCATACGCCGCGGCATTTAACACTATATCCATGGAAACGCACAAAACGCGCACCGAACGCATCCTAGCAACTAACAAACACACAAACTCAACAATCGCACTCTTAATTACGCAACAATAATGGGTAGTGTCATTAATAAATTAAACAAACATGGGGGACTATTTTATGTCGCGGATGCGTAGTCGATCGTCGTCTGCCAGCTGGCGACTAAGCCCCGCCCGTCTAAGCCCAGTGCGCGCCTCCTTTCCCGCCAACCGCCGCGCTCTTCCAAACATGAATGCCCCGGCCCAACGTCGGCGGTCCCTTCTCCTCTGCCGGCTGAAAACTTTACGTACGCTTCGCTCGCGTACAAACCGACGGAACGTTTGTAAACGTTCCGTGTACGACGACGCCGAACGCCGCCAACCGAATGCCACGTTGCCACGCCATGCGTTTTTATAACCTTACTTTTAAAAGTAAATTTACTACCTACCTACACAAAATTCTATTAGCGTACTCAAATTTTTTATGTTCTGTCATAATTTTAGAAATTTTAATTTATCCAATGATTTTCAAATATTTATTAATGCACTAATATTAATATTTAATATATTAAAATATATAAAACTGTAAAGCCTGATTTATAAATTACCTTCCTTCCTTCCTCCCGTAGAAGATGAACAATACAAAAACCGCTGTGCTGTCCCTTACGGGAATCTATAAATGGCACTACGATTTTCGTATTGTTCATTTTCTACGGGAGGAAGGAAGGAAATCTATAAATCAGGCTTAAACAATACTGCGTTAAGATACTATTTTCTTATTTTAAACTTATTTTGGACTTCCTATAAAACTAATTTATACAATTAAAATTATTATTTAACATATTTTGTAATGCCATGTTGCCACGCCAGGTGTCACAGAGTCATAGGCAGCAGAAAAGGGATGGATAGGGAATGATTTTACAGGACCAAATTCCTTTGGCATTTTTCAATCTGACGTTATTAGCCAATCAGAGGCACGCTTTAGCAGAATTGGGTGGGAGAACTGCTGTTATTAATTATTTTTTCAACAATCAAAATAAAAATTATTACTATGAACGAATCGTAGTGTGAACTAACATTAATGATATTATTGACAGATTCTATTGTTGACAGATCATCTGTCACAGATGAGTTTTGGTTTTGAGGTTAAGTTTTTTAACAATATTTTCCAAGTTGTTTTTTTAAAACTGTAAAAATTACTGCGTTATTTTAAAATTATTTCTTACTTCCTATAAAACTCATTTTTACAATTAAAATTATATTTAACGTCTCTTGAAACGTGCATTATTATTGTCTGCAACTGTACAATTATAATAGATTTGGCAACGCTGCAAGCCGCCCTCCCCCCACCAACCTCGCTCCTTCACCGCACTCTTTTATTATTTACGTACATTTTTTTATTCTATAGGAAATTAATTAAATTATTAAATCGATTCGGAGTGTACGATGCGTAGTAAAATCAACTGTTTACTACGAATTTAATTACATAATATTAAGAAAATTACTACTATCAACAAATCGGTGTAAATATCTACTTTTAAGTGTTTTGTGTACATTTTATTTAACTATTTAACAATGGTATATTATTATACGAGATTTTCAAAAATAAATAAATAAATCTAACATCTCTCAAATGGTTAACCTTACTTTTTACCAGTTTTAAATATTATTATAGTAGCCTTCTCCAAATTTAAAACCCGATTGGTTCAAATCCAGTGAATATTGAAATCGGCCAATCACTGATGCCCAACAACGTAAGTAATGAGTTGGGCGCGACGTTTCTAATTATAATGGAAAAAAACAAGATTATACAATAATGGTATATTATATATCAAGTTTTATAAACGCCATTTTAGTTAAGATATTTATTAGGCACGAGCAAAGCTTGCAAGCGAGTGTTTAATAAAAACGAGTGTCTAGATAAGCTTATAAAAAGAGTTGCATACTATACTTTATCTACAACGAGAATTTAAATCCAATTTTATTTGTTAAACATTTGACATCTGTTAAATGTCAACGGAATTAACCTCAATTTTTTCTAATTTATAATAAAACTAAATTCAGCCCGTGACTAAAATGCCCAAAAGCCACTATTGCTAACTTCAGCCCGTGACTAAGTTACAAAATCAGAATTTTCATAGGCCTTGTTTTACAAATGGGTTAACCCAATACAACTAACAATTTTTTTTACTAACAAAGAGGGCAGAATTAAGAGAACATTTTTTGGGATGTGTTCAAAGAAAAGAAAAAGATCTGACCCAATAAATCACTGCACTTATTGCAGAAAACAGCCTGGGTTGTGGTTGAATTGTTTCGGGGAGTACCTACCAATTAAAAAAAGTTGATAAAAAGTTTATTTTTATATGATTTTTTGAATAATAATGTTTAATAGAAAATATTGTTTTTTAACTAGGTAGGTACTTACCTTTAAAACAAAAAAATCTGATTCACACAGATAAGTTGACAGAAAAAATACAAAATCTGAAAAAAATATATAATTACCTACCAATTTGTGTCGTATTTTCACCAACTCAGGACTTTTTTAAATTTTTAAAAAGTTGTCAGAAAAAGTATAAAAGATTTCATAATCTAGTTAAAAACTAGCGCAACTTTTTTTGTAGTACCAGTTTGTGTCATATTTTTCACAATTTTGGTACTTTTTAAGTTATCAGAAAATACTAGATATTTAAATTTCGTTAAAAAATTAGTATAAAAACATTTTTTTGGGAGTACCAAAAGATTTGGGTGAACTTTTATATTATTTTGGTACTTTGTCACAGGTGTTTTGGATTATTTTAACACATTTTCAAAAAGTTGGCACGAAAATGTATAAAAGAAAATTTCACTTAAAAAATCTGTTTAAAAAACTGCGACAAAAACTTTTTTGTAGTACCAATTTAAACAAATATTAGAAATATTCCTTAACACCAAAACAAAACACAAAGTGCTTAAAGTACTTTTCGCCAACGATGTTACAGGGAATATTTCTATTTGTTTAACATATCAACAAATATGTCCTTTTTCAAGTAGTACCAATTTGTGTCAGATTTTCCATTATTTGGGTACTTTTTAAATTTTGTAATATTTTCCTTTATACCACCATCCTGGTGGTATAAAGGAAGATTTTATAATCTGGTTAAAAACCAACCCCAAAACATTTTTTTTGTAGTACCAATTTCAGTTTTTTCATAATTTTGGTACCTTATAGACCATATTTTTTCACTTTTTCAACAAGTTTGTCAGAAAAAAGTATATAATCCGGTTTAATAGTGATACCTACCAATTTGACTCAAATTTCCATAGTTTTGTTTTTTTTTCATATTTTCAAAAAGTTGGCAGGAAAAAGTAAACCTAATAGATTTTATATAAAAAATCTAGTTAAAAAACTAGAACAAAAACTGTTTTTTGGTAGTACCATTGTGTCAGATTTTCCATGATTTTGGTACTTTTTCAAATTTTGTAATATTTTTCACATTTTCAACAAGTTGACAGAAAAGTTTAAAAGATTACATAATCTGGTTAAAAAAATGGAAAATTTTTTTTTTTCGTTGTACCCAGCAATTTAAGTAAATTTTCCATAAAAATCTAGCTTTGTTTTTTTTATGTTTTCAAAAAGTTGGCAGGAAAATGTATGAAAGATTTTATATAAAAAATCTATTTAAAAAACTGGGACAAAAACTGTTTTTGGTAGTACCAATGTGTCAGACTTTCCATGATTTTGGTACTTTTTCAAATTTAGTAAAACATGTTTTTTTGTTGTACCAACCAACTTGTTTTTTCCATAATTTTTAAATTTATTAAATTAAAAATGCTGCTTACCCTGGGTTAAGAAAATAAAACACTTGAAAGTTTTCAATTGAATTTCAATATATTCTATTATAATTATTATTTACTATTATTGATAATTCTGCTCTTGAACGAACAAAAAAAGCTAAAAAACGAAACTCATAATCGATAATATAAGAGAAAAACACACACAAATCCGCAATATAAATATTATACATAATAATTAAAAACTAAACGAGAAAATCGAGAAAAAAGTGTAAATGAAAATTAACTTAAATATCACTACTTGTGGTATACATTACCCAAGAATATACTAAGACTAATTAGCAGAAATTACTGAAAACCAAAAATGATTACGTTTTTTTCAACGTATTTTTGTCTTGATACAACAAAAAGTTACCTCGATTAAATTGAGATAGCTTTTTGCTGTTGGGTAGCATAATCGCCTCAAAATTTCGCCAATTTCGTTCTTTTCAGTTTTCAATTATTCTCCACGACTTTAATTTTGCTCGAGTCGATTTTTAGAGGCACTATAAAAACTTTTTGATGTTCGCTTTCATGTGGCGCAGCTGCGACGGGTTCACTTTTATTTTCAGCTGCTGAATGAGGTCGAAATTTTCAGGGACGGCCCCACTTTGCCCCCCCGTGTAGTCTATGATGTCCTCCTTTTTGAGGTTCAACATCGTTTTGCCGTCCACCTTCTAAGAAATACATTATTAACATATTTTTTCGGCACGACTGTGACGTTTTTAAGAACTTACTTGTTTGCTGAAGGCATCGCAATAGTTTGCGCATTCGTTGACCCTCAAAAACTGTTGCCACATCGAAAAACGTTCCATTCTTCTGGACACAAGTCTCCAGTCTCACCGCTACCACCTGAGTTATCAACTATACGAGGTATATATTTTGTACTTATGTTGCTGTTGCTCTAAAAACGGGAGAAAATGCAACACTTTGTTAATTAAATGATTAAATTGATAAGGTGGCTTTGTACTCAGCACAATTCCGCGCGTTACTTAAAAAAACCCTATCTATAAATATTTATAATAAATAAACATTGAAACTGTAAAAAAAATAAAAATTGAAACTGTAAAAAAAATAAAAAAAAAATATACACTCACATTCACATAAGAAGTGACTTTCCGTTCGATCGGCGGATCTACCGGCACCGTATCGGCCGGAACCGGAAGATTCTGATCCACCACGCTCGCCACTTCCGCTTTCCGGTCCCTCCTCCTCCTCGTCCTCCTCCATCTCGCCCGTCTTCTCCCTCTTGACCTCCAGCGCCCCCTCCTGCTCCTCATCTTTCGCCTCGGGATTTAAATTAGGTTAGTTAACGTTGTTAATGGTTTTTTATTGTAGACATTAATGTCTACATCGCTGTTAAGTTAATTTTTGAAGATTTGGATATATTTTTAAAAACGAAAAAAATGCCCACAAATAGAATCTTAAAATATTAAACTGAAGACAATAAACCACATTTTTAAGATAAAATTGAACATTGTGTTTGTAGTACCAATTTTAGTTTTTCCATAATTTAGGTAACTTTTAAAATGTTGTTATATGCATAGACCATATTTTTTCACTTTGTCAACAAGTTTGGTAAAAAAAGTATATAATCCGGTGAAAAAATTGTCAGAAAAACATTTTTTTTGGTGGTACCTACCAATTTGAGTCAGATTTTACATAATTTTGTTTTTTCTTCATATTTTCAACAGGTTGGCAGGAAAAAGTATAAATGATTTTATATAAAAAATCTAGCTAAAAAATTGGGACAAAAACTATTTTTGGTACCAATTTGAGTTAGATTTTTCATATTTTCAACAAGTTGGCAAAAAAAGTATAAAAGAAGTTTTTAAATAAAAAAATCTAGTTAAAAACTAGGAAAAAAACTGTTTTTTGTTAGTACCAATTTATGTCAGTTCTTTTATAATTTTGTCTTATTCAAAGAACATATTTTTCACTTTTTCAAGAAGTTTTTAAGAAGAAAGTATATAATTGTCAAAAAAAAAATGGTTTTGGTGGTACCTACAAATTTGAATCAGGTTTTCCATAATTTTGTTTTTTTTTTATATTTTCACCAAGTTGGCAGGAAAAAGTATAAAAGAGGATTTTATTTAAAAAAAAATCCAGTTAAAAAACCTAGCAAAAAATTTGTTTTTTTGTAGTACCAATTTGCGTCAGATTTTCCATGATTTTTACACTTTTTTAAATTTTGTAATATTTGTTCACTTTTTCAACAAGTTTGGCAAAAAAATTATATAATCCGGTAAAAAAATTGTCAGAAAAACATTTTTTTGGTGGTACGTACCAATTTGAGTCAGATTTTACATAATTTTGTTTTTTCTTCATATTTTCAACAAGTTGGCAGGAAAAAAGTATAATTGATTTTATATAAAAAATCTAGTTAAAAACCTGGGACAAAAACTGTTTTTGGCAGTACCAATTTGAGTAAGATTTTTCAACAAGTTGGCAAAAAAAGTATAAAAGAAGTTTTCAAATAAAAAAATCTAGTTAAAACCCAAGAAAAAAACTGTTTTTTTGGTAGTATGGGTATGTCAGTTCTTTTATAATTTTGGTACCTTTTAAAATTTTGTCTTATTGCCCATAATTTTTTTTACTTTTTCAACAAGTTTGTCAAAATAGTATAAAATCCGGTAAAAAATTGTCAGAAAAAAATTTTAAAAAATAAAAAAATAAAAAAATCTAGTTAAAACCCAAGAAAAAAACTGTTTTTTGGTAGTATGGGTATGTCAGTTCTTTTATAATTTTGGTACCTTTTAAAATTTTGTCTTATTGCCATATTTTTTTACTTTTTCAACAAGTTTGTCAAAATAGTATAAAATCCGGTAAAAAATTGTCAGAAAAAAATTTTTTTTGGTGGTACCAGTGGAGTCAGATTTTACATAATTTTGTTTTTTCTTCATATTTTCAACAAGTTGGCAGGAAAAAGTATAAATGATTTTTATATAAAAATCTAGCTAAAAAACTGGGACAAAAACTGTTTTTTGGCAGTACCAATTTGTGTTAGATTTTTTCATATTTTTCAACAAAAAAAGCAAAAAAGAAGTTTTCAAATAAAAAACATCTAGTTAAAACCCAAGAAAAAAACTGCTTTTTGGTAAAATTTTGTCTTATTCATAGACCATATTTTTTCACTTTTTCAACAAGTTTGTAAGAAAACATTTTATAACCCGGAAAAAAAATTGTCAAAAAAAACATTTTTTTTGGTCGGTACCTCCCAATTTTAATAAGATTTTCCATACTTTTGGTACTTTTTAAAATTTTTTAATATCTTTTCACATTTTCAACATACCTCCTCTTTGACGTCCGTAGTTGTCGTGGACGCCAGACTCATGGTGCTCAAGACGGTGGGCGTCGTCCACGATGCGGCCGGCGTCGTCGCGACGTCCGCCGGCGCCGTTTGCGTTTCTTCCGTCGACGAGCGAAGGAATTTGTTGGACGACGGCGACGTCGACGTCTTCGCGTCCTTTTTCTTCTTGCGGCCGCGCTTTTTCACGCCTGCGAGCAACGGATTGGCTTTTGGGTTTTTTAATTATTAATGATGTGAAAATGAAGGCGAGAAAGATTTAAGCTTCATTCAGAACCTCGTAATTAGTGGAAAAAATTAGTGGTTTCAATTATACTTATAATTAACACAAAACGATCGTTCACAATGCGCAAAATTAACATCTAAAATTAAAGGAATTTGCTAAAAGATTGTCCATTTTTCTTAACCTGACATAAACAATATTAATTATATTAAAATAATATTTATGTAAGGGCAGGAAGACGAAAGTCGTTAGCCTTTTGGATTTCCAATAAAGTTTATTATTATTATTATTATTATTTATGTAACCTTCACTAGCAAATCTTCAAAATTTTCCCTTTTGACATAAAATATCCGCGCACATGCGCAAAGCCGCTTTCCAATTATAATTAGTGGTAAAAGTTAGAAGTTTGCAAACTTTTTCCACTAATTGAAAAGTACTACCACTAATTTTTTGGTTGTGAACAACACTGTGTATATTCATAAGACAAACTTTTACGTTAATTGAAACCACTAATTTATTACACTAATTACGAGGTTCTGAATGAGGCTTTAAGTTAGAAATGAATTTCACGTGAAAGATTCAAATTTATGTTTAAATAAATGATTGACGAAACCGTTAATACAGGGTGTCACCTAATAACTTGTCATTCTTTGGGGCGATGATAGTACACGCCAAAATTTATCATTTTTGTATTAGAGCTACTGTTTTTTAATAAAAAAATTATTATTTTGTGAAATATCCAAATATCTGATATAATATTATATGGGTGAATCTCACGAAATGTCCCCCGATGTTGTTACCCCGTGATATTTAATAAAACTAAATGAGTTTGACCTACACTTTCATTGTGTTTTGATCTTTCATAATTAAGTAGATATTACAGCTCAGGTTCCAGATTTTTAACCGCAATTAATTATTTTTTTCAATGTTTTAAGTCTAAAACCTATCCTCCGCGACTGTTACTCTTTCTAGGTTAACCTATATGTTTTCAAATATCTGAGGTAGCAAAAGCATACTAAAAATATCAGTTCATTAAGTAAATTAAACACATCCAAAGCAATCGAATCAAATATAAAATATTAAATATTTAAATTAATAATTTTTATAACCATTTATGCAGGTTTTACAAAAATGTATTCTATCCTCCGTGAATCTGTTTTTTGCTTTAAATTTTATGCAACGGATGGCGCTTTAATCATTTTAAATAAGCAAAAAACCTCAGTTTACGACATATAGATGCATGTGATTCCTGAAGGTCAGTTAGAATTTATATGCAGATGAGAGTGTTGCTGTTTTATAATTCAAAAGTTTAAGTTCATTAATTTGCTATTTAAAACCTATCCACCGTGAAGTGTAATATCTCAGTAAGTAGTTTTTTTTATAAATATTTTATGTATGAACAATTGTATTTTTTTAAAAATATTAAGGTGTCAAAAGATACAATAACTTATTTCAAATATACAAAGGGGTGTTTAAAAAAAAACACATACGAAATCCTAACCTCCGTGAAGCTCTAATATTCAAAATGTATGATTTCTTAAAATTCTTGCATTAGTGCAGAACCACTTATGTTATGTTATTACTAGACCTGGTGGCTTCCCAAAAACCCCATTCTAGACTAACAGTGAAACAACCAAAAATAAAAAATAATCATTTTCATTTGGGGGACACCTTAATATATTCACCCGTATAGAAATGTAAAATGTAGTTGAAAAATACAAATTTTTGAATATAAATACATCATATATTATTGTTTTTGCAATTAAAAACAAAAAAATTGAAAAACTACAACAGCAAATTAAATTAAATAAAAAGCAAAAAAAACAATCAAAGGTGTAAAAAAGGCTGTCTAGTTTAGGATGAAATCAGTCTGGCTAATGGTAGATCCAGATCCGAATCTTCATTTAATAAATGCAACAGAAACATTTAGAAAATCTCTCTACATATTTTTAGAGGGATTTTCTAAATGTTTCTGTTGCTCTTTGTTGCGCAAATATTTAAACATTTATACATACTGATGAATAGATTTTTATAAAAAAAATATTGATATATTAGGATAAATATCAAGATATACAGTGTGTATTAAAACGAATAGATACACTTAAATAAAACAAGTGCCCAAACCCCGTCCACTGTGGTAGGGATTGAATTTTAGAATTATTTTTGTTTGAGAATTTAGTTTTATTTTATCGAATTCGTTTGTTTTGTTTTAATGCATTTCTGCAAATAAAAACTAAGTATTGTTTAAAATCCATTAAATTCCAGTTAATGGCGAAAATGTATTTCTTAAAAAACTATACACATTTTCCCTACGATCAAACTGCATGCCCTTGTATCTGGCTGCATGCGCGTTGTTGCCATATGCTATTATTGTTTCCTAAAAAGGGTTGTTTTTTCTTATTTTTTAATATTAAAAGTAAGAAAATTAACTAAATCAAATTATTTTTGACATATTATTAATTTTTTTGTTATTTTTAAAGTTTCAAACAAATAAAATTGAACTATTTATTAAATAATTATAATCGTTCTCTTCTGATTTAAAACAACCTGGCAACTATGGTTCGTTAATAACGAATGGCTTGGTTTAAACCACGCCCAATTAAAGTTTGTTTCTTTTTCTCTGATCAGAATATAATTTGTCATCCTTGTCTCCAGCCTTACTTACTGATTCTATACAGTCTGTATATCAGGATATTTATCACTGATATGTAGTTTCAAGGGTCGCAAGTAAAAAACAATACACTTACCTTTGGGCGATTTGACCGGCAAACTGGGCCTATTAACAATGGGCGGACCTTCCAACTTGTGCCCCACGCTTTGACACCAACCCACGGGATAGATATCGGGACTTTCGCAATCCAGCCACTGGTCGTATTCGTCCTCCCACCCATCGAAATGCACCTAAAAGATCACGATTGCCGAAAACAACGTTCAAAACTTAGCGATCTTAGTTACTTTCAGTATTCTCCCCACCACTTTGGCGATGGTCGCCACGCACACCAGACGCGGGTCCATCAGATCGGCCGCCTCGATCTTCATGCCGGCCACGAAGCCGTGCAGGGGCACGTAGTTGTTGAACAGGGACGGATCAGCCGCCTGGTTGTTGGTCTCGCGCAGGTACTCCGACCAGACAAAAGTGTCCTGGTCGTAAGCTAATGGGTAAAACGATCATCAGAAATGTTCCTCAACGCCAAAACAAAACACGAAATGCTTAAAGTACCTTTCGCCGACGATGTTGGCATCTTCAGAAGCGAAGTTTAACTAAATCTAGCGATTACGGTCCACGGTTTAGTAAATCTTAGCTGATAGATTTAGCAGGGTTGGCAAAACGAAAAACCCATTTAAAAAACCCACAGGGTTTTTGTGTCAAAATCCCACCCAACGACCTATACAAAAACCCATACAAAAGCCCAAAGAATTTGAGGTGTTTATAAAAAATGAGACAAAATCGAGCTAATTTTTATATAGTATTTAATAACAAAATATAATATAGTTCACTTGGAAACAGACAGGTACTGATAGATCAGTCTTATATTGTGTTGATGTGGGTGGTATTGATGAAAGACTATCAAAAGACAGTTGTGATGGTGTTACAGTCTTCCATCCGTTTTCCATATTGTCGTTTTTATTTCATATCGTTTCCTGAATATTCCACTTCTTCAAATTGTATTTTTTCAACAATAACTAGGTTCGTTGGGTTCTCGTCCATATTCTTCCACAACAAAAGCAAGAAAAATTCACGTTGAAAATATTTACCTATAGTTTAAAAAAAGTAAAACTCACCTGTTAACTTTTAATTCACATATCAAAAAGAAACACACTAAATCACTCCTATTTTATTACAACACTTAACCAAAAACAACCAGTCTGGACAAAAGTTCAAAATTAATGTTATTTTTCTATAATTTGAGGTTAGAGTTCCGGAAATACGAAAAATACCCAACAATTACCCAAATACCTAAGAAAAACACAAAAACCCAAATACCTACCCAGAGCATACAAAAACCCAGATTTTTGCCAACCCTGAGATTTAGCGGTTAGGTTTAGTTACAATTCGCTTCCGAATAGTGCTTTAAGCACTTTGTGTTTTGATCGACAACGTATTACGCAAAAATTCTTGCCTTTGGGCGGCGTCAGGGGTATGCCGTGCTTCTCGCAGAAGCCCACGGGGAAGATGCAGGGCGACTTGACGTGGTAGCAGAACCAATCGGCGCCCGTCGCGTCCGAATCGTACGTGTCGATCCTGATCATGATGTATCCGCATCGCAGCACGTCCATCACGGTGGCGACGCAGATCGAGGACAGGTTGAGCGGATCGATCGCTTTCCAACTTCATGCCGATGCAGAAGCCGGAGGTGGACGCGTGGTCTATGGAGCCCACCTGGAACGGCGTGAACAGCTCTTCCGTGGCGTCGTAGTCGTCGTAGAGGGCTTGGTTTGCGCGCTCCAGGTACTCCACCGGCGCCACCAAGTGATGGCCGACCTTGATTTAAACGCAAGTGTTGGGTTTAGATGTAAATGTTAGTTTTAAAGAAGGTAAATGTAGTAAAAAAATAGTTGTTAGCTTTAGGAAATTTGGTTTCTAACAAGTTTAACAAGTAGAAGTTTTTGGAGGATTTGTCTTCATTTTAAAAGGTAAATGTAGTTTGTGGTAAAATAAATGTATGTATTTTTAGCTTAGTATTAAACAAAATTACCTAAAACCACAATCCACACAACAAGGTCTGTTCTGCACAGAGTTTAACGGCGGCCATTTTTGTTGTTTACAATTCTGTGCTTTGGGTTTGTGCTGTTTAATAATTGTTTTAAACGTTGTGTTTCTTACAGAGGCACTTGTATGCCTCAAATAAGGTCTTTAAGTGCTAAGGAAAACCATTTTACTTCTCTTTTATAATAAATATATCTTATTCTATCAGGGCTGTCAATTGACAATTTAAAGGTTAATTTGTGGGTTATAATTTAACCTTAAAATTACATTTGACAGTTTTATGACAGCCCACGCACTCTGATATGTG